TGTGACTGTAGGGGGTGTGTAGGGCTGTAAGACTGGGAACCTAAAGGAGTGGGTGTGTGATGACCTCGCCATGCGTGTGTATGCATGTGTATGTGTGCGTGCGGGGGGACCATGGGAGTGTCTGATCCTGAAAGTGTATATGGGAGTGTGTGATTTGTGTGACTACGGGAATGTGTGTTTATATCTGTGTCACTATGGCAGTATGGCCTGTGCATGTGAGATTTTATGGCTGTAGGTGGTGTTTTGGGTTGAATTGTGCTTCTCCTCAAAAAAGATATATTGAAGTCCTAACCCCAGCACCTCTGAATATGATTTTATTTGGAACCAGTATCACTGCAGATGTAATCAGTTAGGATGAGTCCCTACTGGAATAGAGTGGCCCTCATGCAATATGACTAGTGTCCATATAAGATGTCCATGTGAAGACACAGAAACATGGAGGCAGAGGCTGAAGTGATGCACCTCCAAACCAAAGAATACCTGGGGCTACCAGAAGCCAGCAAAAGCAAGGAAAGGCCGTTCCCCACAAGTCTCAGAAAGAACCTTGCCTTTGGACTTCTAGTCTCCAAAACTGTGATACAATAAATTCCCGTTGTTTTAAGCTACCCAGTGTGTGATACTTTGTTGTGGCAGTCCCAGGAAACTAATAGAGGTATGTATGAACGTGTTGTGCATATGAATATGTTGTGCGAGCTTGAGAGTGCATGAAAAAATGTGAGAAACCAGCTGGGCATGGTGGCTCACACCTGTAATCCTAGCACTTTGGGAGGCCAAGGTGGGCGGATCGCCTGAGGTCAGGAGTTCTAGACCAGCCTGGCCAACATAGTAAAACCCCGTCTCTACTAAAAATACAAACATTAGCTGGGTATGGTGGTGCATGGTTTTAATCCCAGCTACTTGGGAGGCTGAGGCAGGAGAATCGCCAGAAGCAGGGAGGCAGAGGTTGCAGTGAGCTGAGATCATGCTGCTGTACTCCAGCCTGGGTGACAGAGCCAGACTCCATCTCAAAAAAAAAAAAAAGGTGAGAAACCATGAGAGTGTGCATTTATGTGAGTATGAGATGGTGGTAGTGAAGATGGAGGTGACTATGGGAGTGTGAAAACGTGTGAGACAGGGAATGTGTGAAGTGTCTGTGTGTGTATTTGTATGTGCCAGAACACACATGCTCAGTACCTACAAATCATCATCCTGGAAAGGAACTCAGCATCTGTCCTTCACATCTGATTGCCTCTACCCACCCTCCCTGACCTTGGGCAGCCCTACCTGAGGCCAGGTAAGCCTGGAGGAGGGCTACCCACAGCCCGCCCACAGGACACAGGATGCAGGCTTGCTCCTCAGGGACCCAGAGGAGGCCAGGCATTGAAGGCTGCAGCCAGTGAGGTACAGGGTCAAAATCTTTGTTTGTGGAGCTGGGCATTATTGCCTGAAGTCTGATTTCTATTTTTTGTTTGTTTGTTTTTTGAGACAGAGTCTTGCTCTGTTGCCCAGGCTGAAATGATATGGTGAGATCTTGGTTCACGACAACCTTCCCCTCCTGAGCTCAAGCGATTTTCCTCCCTCAGTCTCCTGAGGGACTACAAGCACATGCCATCACGCCTGGCTAATTTTTGTATTTTTTGTAGAGAAGGGGTCTCATGGCCAGGCACGGTGGCTCATACCTGTAATCCCAGCACTTTGGGAAGCTGAAGCAGGAGGATCACCTGACGTCAGAAGTTCAAGACCAGCCTGACCAACATGAAACACCTATCTCTACAAAACACCTGTCTCTACAAAAATACGAAAATTAGCCAGGCATGATGGTGGGTGCCTGTAATCCCAGCTAGTTGGAAGGCTGAGACAGGAGAATCGCTTGAGCCTGGGAGGCGGAGGTTGCAGTAAGCCATCATCACGCCATTGCACTCCAGCCTGCGCGACAGAGTGACACTCCATCTAAAAAAAAAGAGAGAGAGAAGGGGTCTTGTTATGTTGCCCAGGCTGGTCTCAACCCTCCTGCCTTGGCCTCCCAAAGTGCTGGGATTACAGATATGAGCCACCACGCCCAGCCCTGATTTCTTTCTAGCTGCTATGCTGGTATCCCCAGTCCTGCATAGGGAGACAGGCCTATGCTCAGAGAGTCTTGAAGGTGCACTGGGTTCCTAGACACCATGCTGATCAGCCCCATTCCTGGAGACCACTGGATGTCACAGAACCAGCTGGAAACTTAGCCTCCCAGGCCATGTTCAGACCAGCCTGTCCCTCTGCTGGCTTAGCCACTGTCTTCCAACCAGGAGACACCATAATTGTTCAATTACTCAACAAAGCACATGTTCCAAGGCCCACGTCTTAGCATACTCAAAGGTGTCCCAGAGAGGCTTTGCAATGAAACTTCAGACAAGCCACTTCTCTCCGAGCCTCAGTTTCCTCTCTGAAGAGTGTACAACCACCCTTGCCCTGCCTACCCTCATAGAATTCTTGTCAGGATTAAGAGGCTCAATGGACGTGAACTTGCCTTATAAAGAAACGCCTTATAAGATGCCTCCCACAGACCTATAGGGTCAGTATCATCTCCAGTATCAGCTTCCCACTGTCTCTTCCCTTAGCTCTGTAATGCTTTGATTTAATTCAGGAGTCTGCAAACTGTGGCTCACAGACCAAATTCTGCCTGGTTTTGTATGGTCTGTTAGCTAAGTGGTTTTCACAGATGAACATTAGTGGTCGATTTGATAATAGGGAGCATTAACTTTGAACCCCAACCAAGCAAAATGTTATCTCCTTTCCCCAAATTTCATTCTTCTTCTTATTAGACCTGTATTACAAAAAAAAAAGTACTCAATTATTATTGTCTTTGTAATTTCATCAATAACAATTTTGTGGAAATTTGTTTTCTCTCTTGTTACGCAAATCCCTGCATAATATTCTCAATTTTGCCTCATAGCCTGCAGAGCTTAAAATACAGCAAAAGTTTGCTGGTCTTTGCCTCCACTGCCCAACTCCGCCCCTGTCACATAAAAACAGCCACAGATGATACATAAGCAAATGAGTGTGGCTGTACTCCAACACAACTTTATTTCCAGAAACAAGTGGTAAGCAGGATTTGGCCATCATCTGTCAACTCCTGAAGTAGAACACTGTAAGCCCTTGGCCATTTTGATGGGTTTGGAGAAGGGCAAGTCAATCCTTAGTCAAGTCCAAATAAGCTAAGTGTTGGCTTGAACAATTCACTGGACTGAATTGGGCTGGATGTGAGTCTGAAGATGATGGGACTCCCTCCAAGGACTCTAAGAATAAAGCCCACCCAGAAAAAGGCAGAGTGAAGCAATGGGAGAACCCAAGGGCATTGTTTTAAGTCCCTGGATCACACATCATCTCGCAGTGAGTCCTGCTCCCTTGACTTTCCGGTGCAAAAGCCAGTCAATTTTCATTGTTATTTAAGCCCATTTGAGGTGGATTTTCTGATGTTTGCACTGATACAAGAGCACAAAAGAAGAGTGTCTAATCCAGCCTGGGGCATTCAGGGGAGACTTCCAAGAAGAGGTGCCATCTGAGCTGGGTCTTAGCAGTGAAAGCATATGGGAGAAAAGATATTCCAAGCAGAGGACACAGTCTGAGATGAAGCCCAGCTACATGGAAGAGCACAGAACATGCCACAAGTCCCGGGTGGCAGAGCTGGGAGTGGCCAGGGATAGAACCAGAGGTTCAAGAAAGGATACCTTCTACCCTGTGCACCCAGCCAAGGTGCATGAATTTTGAATGCGTCTTAAGCAGGGCATGACAAGTTCAGGCTGGAATTTTATTTATTTAATTTTTATTAAAGATGGGGTTCAAGCAATCCATCTGCCTCAGCCTCCCAATGTGCTGAGATTACAGGCATGAGCTACCACACCAGCCTGGGCTGGCATGTTAGATAGAACTTTTTCACCACTGTGGAGGATGCACTGAAGGGAGGCTCCAGAAGAGGACAAGGCTGGAAGTGGGGAGGCCAGCTAGGAAGCTATTGGAATACTCCAGATGGGAGATGATGAGGGTCCTGCCCTGACCAATAGTAGGGGGAGTGGAGGTAAAGAGGAGGGAATGACTCTGAGAAATGCCTTGGAAGCCACAGGACTTGGAAGCCACAGACTTCCTCCCTTATGAAGAGGAAGGGATAAGGAGAACCAAGGGATGATTCTAGCTTCTAGAGTGACTGGGTAGATTATGCTGCCACCAATGTGGAGAAAATGCAGAGGTGGAGCATGTTATGGATACAGAAGATGGCTTGGGCTGGGGACATGTTGACTGTGCCATCCCTGGAGGCCCACAGACATGGGCATGGGATCCAGGTTCCACACGGGATAGTGGTGGGAGCCACCATCTCATGGGTGGTAGATAAAACCATGAGAGTAGATGGGCTTGTCCAAGAGCACAGATGATGAGGAGAGCAGTGGGGCAACGCCCAGTGCTTCAGACAGGACAGTGGGAGATGAGATGAGCCCACAGAGACTCATGAAAAGGAAAAGTTAAGCAGGAGAACAGTAGGGCAGAGTGTGGCAGGCACTGGCGCCCTGCCCATCTCTCTCAGTGTTCGCCTCTAAAGGTAAAAGCCTGCTTACTGCCAACACCTGCTCTTTGCCTGAGGGTTTTTTCCTGGCCGTGGAAACACCCTTGGCTCCAACCCAGAGCAGGCCGGAAGTGCTGGAGAGTGAATGCGCCTAGAAGGAGGCCACAGCCCATGATGAAGGGAGGTTGATGGATGAGTACCCTAGGGCCTGCGCCTGTGGGTTGGCTTGTGTGCGGTATGCGTCACGCATGCGCAAGTCCCCAGTGGGACTGCACTCCTCTTGCTGACAGTGGGATAACACTCCCTTTATTGGCTGCCTTCCCTCATTCTCCCTGCCCTGCTCCCCCACTGGTATTTCTGGGACCACCTCCCAAATAAACCACTTATGCTTGAATCACTGTCAGAGTCTGCTTCAGGGAGAACCTAAACTAAGACAAAGGTGTCATGAAAACCAAACAAATAGAAAACATGAAGGTGTTCTCACCAGGTAACTTTTGTCACTGGAGGGATCAGGTCTGTCCTGCCCCAAGGGGCCCATCTCCACTCTCATAAAAGAGGCAGGCCGATTTCTTGTCTGGTCCGAAGGTTCTCAGCAGGGGACTTTCCACATTCCCTGGCTGAGCAAACTCCAACATCAAGAAATCCTTTTGTAGTCCCAGTTACTCAGAGGCTAAGGCAGGAGGATCTCTTGAGCCCAGGAATTCGAGGCTGCAGCGAGCTATGGTCACGTCACTGTACTCCAGCCTGGGTGTCAAAGTGAGATCCTGACTCTAAAATAAAACAGAAAAAATAAATCCTTTCCTATCTCTCACCTCATTCCTTCAGATTTTGCAGGAGCTGCTGTGTACTGCAAATGCTCAGAAAGATTCCTCAGCCCCAAGCCCACCTTCTCCTTGTACCCCTGATTCAGTCCTCTTCTTTTCCAGCACTCCAGGTGGCTTTCACTTCTTTCTGTTCATCATATCTCCAGCCCTGTAAGTGTTCTCTGCTTCTTTCTGCCTGCAATCCAAAGACTGGCCATGACTGCTGGCCAGTGTCCCACAGGGAGACGGGGGCTAGGTGGGCTGGAAATACTCCCAGTGTACTCCTGACCCACCCTGCTCCCCACCTCTTACCTCTCAAGGCAGGAGGCCAAGGGGAATTGCCTTGAACCAGACTTCTTGAGAGGTAAAGGGCCCTCAAGAAGCCATATACTAGAGCAATGAGGTGATCACTCTGGTGTGTAACAAGCCAGGGTATGAAGGCAGGTGCTGTACTTACATAATTGTGGAACCGTGTATGAATTTCAACCTTTCTGAGCTTTAGTCTTGTCATTTATAGAATGAAGATAATAATAGTATCAACCTGATTTAGGCTGGGTTCCCACAGAAGCAGCCCCTGAGACACTATTCCATTGCAAATGGTTGATTTAGGAGGTGAAGGAAATACCAGTAGAAAAGTGGGGAAGTAAGACAAGGAAAGGAGGCAACAAAGTATATGTTACCAGCTACAGGATGGGCTCGGTCCCACAGAAGAAACCCTGGAAGTATGCATAGCACACATGACTCGGAGTTATTCCACAAGTGAAGTGAGGGAGTAGGGGTATTTATATACCAATTCCCATCAGTTATGGGTAGAGGGCTCCTCCAGGAAGTGCTAGTTCCCTGGCACTTCTGGCCTCCCACAGAGTGGAAAAGTGGGCTCTAATGCCCAAAGGAAACCCTTAGGCTAGGAAAGGCAGGCATTAGTGATTGGAAGCCTTAGGGGTGAAAAGTCACAGTGCACCAGACAGGGCACCAACAAGTATCTGTTGCATCATCTTAGAGGACTGCTGGGAGGTGAAATGAGGTCATGTGTGGAACGCGCTTAGCACAGTGCCTGATGCATGGGTGGTTCTTCTTTAAGCAAGACCCAGCTTCAGTTTGCCTTCAGCTGCCTGGCTCCAGGGACTTCCTGCTGCCTAACAACATTGAGAGAGGTCCTGGGGGCTGGAAAGCCATGGGTTAAGAGGAGAGGGTACTGGAGGAGACCCTAGGGGACATGGTGAAGACCAGAAAGCAGAGGGGGTACAGGAGAACCAGGAAGGAGGTAGGGCCTGGGGCCCAGGCCTCGCATAGAATTACAAGGATCAGGAAGTGTGTGAGCCCCACTCCATGGACCCAGCCAGATGCCACACACAATAAGGGATGTATAAAGACTCTCTTACCTTCCCTTATTTCTACTCTACATTCATTGCCTTTGATATTTGGAGCACTGCTTTCTCTTAAAAAAAAAATAGGACTATTGTGGGAATCAGAGATACATGTTAAAATTGCCTGGTGAACAGTTGATGCTCAACAGACGGCAGCTATTTTCAATGTGAGCCTACCTGGGCTTTAACTCTCCTCCTTCATATCCCACCTCACCCTCCAGGGCCAGCAGCTGAGACCCCAAGCCCCAGGTCTTCCAGGTTCCATGGGGAAGGAATGCATCCTCTGCTAAGAACAGAGTTCTGAAGGCATCCTAAGTCAACAAGCAGAAAGGGAGCCAGAGGAGAGATAAGAAGAATGGGGAGCACAGCCCTCTGAGAAAAGGGGATGGCTCTGAGGAAGTGAGAGTCTTCCTTGTCCCATTTTCTACCTAAGTTCCCCCCTTGACCCTAGCCAGCTCTTTCCTTGCAATCAATGAAGACACAGTTATTACATATGTCCTACAACATGCAGCTGATAACTGCAGGACACCAACTTGCCCTAAAGTGTTAGGCTATTTTTGTTTTTTAAACTTTGCTCTAAAGTATCAAATCATAATCAAATCAATATGCAAGTACTGTGCAGCTACCTTGCAAAAGAAATTAAGCTGGGTACAATGAGAAATCCCCAAATGACTGAAACTGTAGGTCCCTAAACTAAGGAGTTTATTATCTAGTTGGAGAAATGAGGCATAAAATGGCTAAACAGTTAACAAACAATAGGGTTTGTTAAAAGTTACTGGGAGCTTATTCAATAAGTTAGCTAACAACACATTGTAACATCAATGACACAGGAGTGCTAAAGAGCACCTGGAAAGAGGCAGAAGTGGGCTGGGGTAATCAAGAAAGAGTAACTGTAGCTATAGTCTATCCAACACCTAAACTGAGAAGAATCCTACATGAGCCATATGCATCCTCACCACCTCTCTGCCAGACTGTCATCTTTCTTCCCATCTTGCCGTTGAATAAACTGAGGTCAAGCCCCTTGCTTCAGGATTTTGGGCTAGAAAAGTGACAGAATTGAGACTTAAATCCAAAAGTCTTCAAGTGGATGGAAGATGTGGGATAGCTCCTAAAAGATAAGGAAGAGCCGGACGAGGTGGCTTGCACCTGCAATCCCAGCACTTTGGGAGGCTGAGGCGGGAGAATTATTTGAGTCCAGGAGTTTGAGACAAACCTGCGCAACAGAGAGACCCCTTCTCTACCTGGGTGTGGTAGCTCACACCTGTGGTCACAGTTAATCGGAAGGCTGAGGTGGGAGGATCACTTGAGCCCAGGAGGTTGATCACAGTGAGCTGTGATTGCACCACTGCACTCCAGCCTGGGCAACAGAGTGGAGGCCCCGTCTCCAAAAAAAAAAAAAAAAAAAGATGAGGAAGAACTGAATGAAGGGAAAAGGAATTCTTTCCTCTGTGCCCACTCCTGGGGCTTCTGCTACCCTCATGCATCCTCCACCCCATCCCCACCCCCATGGGTGGGGTGCATGAGGGAGGGATAAGGCACTGGGTCTGCTCTCTTGGCCCCTCCCAGTATGTTCTGCTCTCTTCCTGCACAGAAATCCTTCCATGTAGGGATCTCATTTGACCTAAAGAT